TTTGAATTGTGGTGCTGGAGGAGGCTCTTGAGAGTCCCCTGGACTGCAAGGAGAACAAACCTATCAATTCTAAAGGAAATCAACCCAGAGTGCTCACTGGAAGGGCAGATCCTGAAGCTGAAGCTCCAGTACTTTGTCCATCTCATGAGAAGAGAAGACTCCTTAGAAAAGACCTTGATGTTGGGAAAGTGTGAAGGTAAGAGGAGAAGGGGACACAGAGGATGAGATGGTTGGACAGTGTCATTGAAGCAACCAAGATGAATTTGACACAACTCTGGGAGGCAGTGGAAGATAGGAGGGCCTGGCGTGCTCTGGTCCATGGGGTCACAAAGAGTCGGACACAACTTGCTCTGATCCATGGGGTCACGAAGAGTCGGACACGACTAAACGACGACGACGGCAGAAAGCAGCAATGATTTAAAGTGACTTAAATAGGACTACAGTTGAACATTAACAGAACAAAATTATGATTACAGAAGAACTACAGAACTTTAAGGTTGATGATGAAGCAATTTATATAGTGAAATATTTTGTATCAATCCAATCAGTTATCAATCAAAATGGAGACTGCAGTCAAGAAATCAGAATATTGAGACTTGGAAGAGCAGAAATTAAGAAATTAGAAAACATTATCAAATGTAAGGATATGCTACTGGAGACCAAGACTAAGAACATCCATACTACTGTATTCCCGATCAATAAGTATGGGTGTGAAAGCTGGACAGTAAAGAAAGCTAATTGGAAAAATATTCATTTGTTCAAAAAGACAAACAAATGGGTCCTAGACCAAATCAAGCCTGAAATTTATCTTCATTCCCTGCAACAAGGAATTATGCCATGCTACTGCACAGTCAGTCAAGCACCTCCTACACGACTAATGAGGCAATGTGCCAGCAGAACTGCTTTGAGGATTTCGCTTCTGCCTTTGCTGTTACATAATGATTTTAAGTACTGCCACTGAGCAACTAGCTACTGCATCTGTGAATCTTGAAGGAACAGTAGAGAATGGCAGGGTCAGAATACTGGCAACTTCACATCTATGTCAGGGTACTCTAGCGTTCTCAACATCTATCATGGAAGACTTGGTGTTAGTTGCCTCCAAATGCTCTTGATGTTTCCCATTATGGGGCAAACATTATCTGATATATTTTTTAATTGTATGGCACAGGTTCTGTCACAAAAAACATTCCCTCTAACTTCCCATAGTGCTTGGCAGGGGCTCTGTCCCGCATGTGGGGGGTTCCAGCTGCAAACAGAAGCAAATGGGCAGCAACACTGACTTAGCTGTAGGGCCCCAATGCAGCACTGCACACCTGCACAACTTAAGAGGGAACAGTGGTCACAAACCAAAACCACAATATTTGCTGTTTTCCAGACTGTTCACTGGATCCAAGAAAAAGATACTATTGCTTTTGATTCAATTACAAGATAATGCAAAATAAAAACAAAACCCTTGCTTCTCCTACTGCCCTCTTCAGATGCTAGAAGGGTGGGAAAGTTGGTAGCAGGGACAAAAAGAACCTCACCAGTAAATCAAGTCAATGGTCCATAAGGATGACAGAATGGGCTGAGCTCTTCTCTAGGAACTTGTACTTTGGGGAAGGACCAAAAGTCAGTTTCATAAATCTCAACACATTGCACTGTCACTTCCAGATGAGCTCAGAAATCACTAGAGGCCAATCTTCACTTTTAAAAAACACAACAAAGGACTGTGCTATGCAATTGCATACCCCTCACATGAACAATTGCACAACATGCTGGAAGAAGTGCTCTGGGGATCACACTTCTGCCTTCTCTCTCTCTAGAATACTCCAATAAAGAGGGACCTCTGGGGGCCATCTCCTGCCCAGCCTTGCTCTAAATCTCTTCAAAAACACACCCTGGAACCTTTGGAAGCACTGTTTTCCTAGTAAGACTATCACTATAAATGTTCCCTCTAAGAAAAATGAGTGCTTGAATGCTCGCCCAGAATTCCGTCGGAGCTGTGCATGGACAGTCGGCTTGTTTACTTTCTGTTTCAAATGAAGCCTCGCCCATCCTCATGCACATGGAGTGAGTCTCCTGCACAGCGGAGCAGAAAACTAGAGGGAAAGTTGGCTATCATGAACAAGACAAAGTGTACTTCAGTTACAGATTACAAAGATCTCAACTGGATGTGAATATTCAGAACTTCAAGCCCTCTCTCAACTTCACAGCTTTTTTCTGAAAAGAACACTGTGATTTATATTTGGAAAAAGACTTGCATTTAGACACTCCTCATAAAATCTGAGATTCCTAGCTCTCAGAAAGAATTAGTCAAGCATAGTTAGGCACAATCTTTGTTTGAGAAATACAGAACCATTCTTCTCACCTGCGTTCACAATGGGCTGCTCCTGCAGGGCAAAAGCTGCAGCTTTCACAAAGGCAGACATAAAACCAAGTTTCATATTGTGCTTCTTCAGGAAGTTATCCCTGTGCCGGGCTCTCATTTCCTGGATGTTGCTGCAAATACCAGATATTTACACACTATGAACCATTTTGCAGATGCAAAATTCAGACTGACTGGCCTATATCCTCCATATTAAAGAGGTTTGACAGAGATCAAAGTTTCCAACATCTCCTCTCAACATCTTAAAACCTATCATCAACAGAGTAAGATTAATATTATTTGAAAATGCCTCACTGCAGCTTTCTTTTCCATGAAGACTACACAAATCTCTAAATGCCCTAGACTACAGTTAACACCCAAGGACAGATATGAGAATACCAACTTTCTTTAGGTTGTTTTTCCTAATCTGGTGTTTTTCAGATATGTTGCACTACAACTTCCATCCTAAAAAGCAAGCATGGGCACAGCTCTAAGTGGTTTCATCAAATCAGCAAGGCTGTATGCCAACATTTGAAACATACAAGATTGTTCAAGAACCTCATCTCCCTGAGAGTGAACTGTCAGGCACATGCAGGTGGCTCCAGAATCAATCAGAGGAATCTTTAATAAAAGTATCTCTGGTACTTTGGCTAACAAAGACCTGTGTCTAAAAATGAGCAGCTTCCACACTGGGCTAAAATAAATGACCTGAAGAACAAGGAAAGCTTGAAGATAAAATTAAGTGGGATGTGTACACCTCGTGTTTCCATTATCTACCTAAACCATAAGAGAATTTGCTGTAATTTTTAAAGATAAGTATCAAAAAACAGTGTGACTCTCTGGCCGCACTCAAGAAAACAAAAGCACGTAATGTACACTGGGGTGAAGTCATTTGTAAGACTACCAACATAATGACTCTGAGAACAATTTTCACCTGAAGACAGCAAATGGCAATTTCCACAATGCATTTACTGCAAGAAAATGTGGCAGCACAAATTGAACAGGACAACTTTGTCTTGACAATTATAGGCATATACTGAAGTTGAACCTTATTCTTTCTTCCAGACAATATGGTTTTAAAGAGGTTGTTTTGAAAGGAAAAGTGTCCCTTTGGGCTTAGACTGTTTGTGTTGCTTTGTGTAATCTTATTTAGAGTTAGGATTACTGTCCAAAGACATTACTGCTCCCAAGATACAAAGAATGCCAGGATGAGGGGTGGGGCTGACAGGAAGAAGCCCCATGGGCAGGCTTCAGAGCAGACACTGATCCTCAGCAGGGAGGCAAAAGGCCTTGGCCTAGCCCCTTGCAAGTCGGCTCCATGGCATACAGGGTAGGGGCAATCAATCCAAAACAGATTACCAGCTGCAACAAGAGCCCCCGGCTAGAGTAAAGTGACACCTCCATTAGCCTCTAATAGGTGATAAGTTGCAGCATTTCCTTTCCAATCAGGACTGTTTTGCCAACCTTATTATTCCAAGCACAAATATTTACATGTTTTGTCTTAAGAAGCAGGATAGGATTTCATGGAGAAATCTGATTTGAGCCCCATTTTTCTTAATGCACAGAAATATAACCTTCTCTTTCCCAAAGCCATTAGTACTTAAGGACACAAAAGCACTTGGCTTGAATGCTGTTCATTTCCCCACCCCCAAGCAGAAATGTTAGACTTGGGTGTGAGCTCCAGAACCACGTTTCCATCACATGCACTATCATGTCCTTGCTCAAAATGAGTTTCCACCTTAGACATCAACTATCTAGATGGGAATATAAAATGCAACCTTCATTATGAGGATGTTAAAAGTACCCTGAAAGGTAGAAACCATCCTAGTTAATTTGTTTTATTTATCAACATCTTCCACCTGTGTTCTATCAGTATTATGTGAAATATACACTCAAAAGAGCTGGTCAAAACTACCAAGCTATGATCATCAATACTACTTGAAAGCAGCAGCACGTAAGCTGTAGCGCTATGGGGCGGTGTATAAGTCCAATAAATAAATAAATAAAATAAATAAATAAATCAATACTACTTGAAAGCAGCAGCACGTAAGCTCCATGGGAACCTGACAGACACACATTAATAAACCCAAGTTCCTATTGTTTATATTACAGGCAGTTATACAAACTGACTTGAACTGACTGAACACATGGTACTTACCTCATATCAATTTCATTGAAGGTTGTCAACATGGCACATGTATTTTGAGCCTCTTTGAGGCGCTGAGCAATTCGCTGACGCATCCGATTCATTTTTACCTGGCATGGCACAAAAAAAGACAACAAGAAAATTCTCTACAATCTAAAACAACATCAAAAAGAAAAACACCACAGAAGCATCACTGCTGGGACAGATGGCCACATGAACTAAAGTGGGGAGGCCCACCGCAATTTTGTTTTTTGTTTTGGGAAGAACCTCATTAGGGCAGCAAGCAGCTTCTTAGCCTAAAATCCACTCAGCTGAGAAAGAATAAAGCCAAGTACATAATGCCAGAGGCGCTGTGATCAAGTAAGGGTCATGGGTAGGAGTAGTCAGTAACCTAGCAGAAGTCACTGTTATAGCCATAAACATCTGCAAAGCAGTTCTGCAGTCAGCTTTGAAATGCTGACGAAGATTTACACATCTGACTACAACTCCTGCAACAAATGTTGAAAAAAAAAGACAGTCTTCATGAGCCAAGAACTTCCTTGAACAGCCCATCAAGTTATTATAGCACAACATTATCACCACATCTCATGGGATTCTATTGGGGCTTTCTGTTACCTCCTTTAGGCAGAACTGTCCCTCCACTCAGTCTCAAGCAAACACATCACCCCATTGTCTGACTCAGGAGATGGTCATCCATCTTATTTCCTCCAAGACAAATATATATCTATATATATCCAATTACCCTTTGTTCCAGTCTGGCACCTTTGCCAGTTCCAGGTTCCACTGCAGGAGTAGCTGTGGTTGGCTTTATTGCAGAGACTGCGGGTAGACAAAAGATAAGTGTAAAGGTATAGAGAGAGCAGAGCTGATGTCCAAGGAAACAGAATAATAGCAAGGCCAAGGCCAAAATGAAACATCCAGAACGACAAGGAACTTGAAGCCCATAAAACAGAAAGACACAATTGCTCAATCAGTGTCAGTGAAGACCCTAACAAATTTCTAATTGGAGCATTCCTCTGCTATAAAGTGGAGAGGAGGCATTAAGGAGGGGTAGCTACTGCCTTGGTCTCACCTGGTTTAGCATCTACAGGGAGTGCCGAAACCGGGGGCACTGGAGGCATTGCTGTAGGTATTGATGCTGCAGGAGGTGGTGCTACGGGTGGAGGTGCTGCAGGAGCTGCGGGCTCTGGTGCAGGGGCTGCAGGTGGCTTGGCCTTGGCAGGTGCAGCTAAATCGCATGAAGAGAAGATAATTACAAATGCAGATAAGAGCCTGGAGGCAATTTTTAACAAACCACATAAACAAGTTCTCAGCATCTTGCACAAAAGCATTCCCAGAACCCGTATCAGTAACTCTTCCTGAATTTGGCTACTGACATCTGAGGCCACACTTTCTGGCCTGCCATTAGCCAACTGGCATACTCTAAAGACTGGGCCTTATCAGTTGTGGCTGCACAAATGTGAAAGTCATACATCAAGAATATTTGCCAAGCTTTCTCCCTCAGGTTTTTTATTTTGGCCCAAAGGCTTATTTCATTGTGTTGAACTCTTCTTTTAAACAACTAGTTGTATTGTATTGTTTGCCTATTTCATATCAAGGTTGGGAATCACTGACCTAAACTTTTATATCAAAGTCTCCAACAAATAGTATAGAAAAATTGCCAGTTACACAATCCTGACTTACCTCCAGTTTTCCTGAGTTTAAATAAAGGTGTTCCTCCTTCCACTTTTCCCCCATCAGGGACCAGAAGTGCTTCAATCACCCCAGCTGTTGGAGCTGGAACCTGCACAGAAGTCTGAAGGCAAAGGAAAAAAACAAGTTCCTTACTAATTATGAGAAGGAAATAAGTAACCCCTTCAACAGGAAGGAACAATACATGAGCAAAATTGGCCCTCTAAAAGAAGTCATGAAAAAAAAGCCCACTGTGTAAGTGCATCCTGAAGACACTGCATCCTGAGAAATATGTATTACACTGGATTCTAGTCCTGTATTTATTCACATGACTCCTTCCAAAAAAACTGTTCACCAGTCTATACCATGAATAAAGAAAATGGTATAAATGTTTAATTGATCTTCTTTCCTGGTATAGAAGTTGGGATTTAACCTGAAAATTATAGAGGAAAATTTAACTCCCAGCAAGTGTAATGCAGTGCTGATAGCCGTGGGCTTGTAGCCAAAAACTACAATATTAAACTATTTGAGGTAATGTGTAAGTGGTTGCCCCCTGCCTGGGTTCTGGGTTCTAGATAGCTGCCCACTATCTAATTTGTCTACTCCAAATCTGGGGTGGAATGAATTTTATCTTTATACTGACTTTAATCATTATGGTGATGAAAAAAAAAGAAAAGAAAGAGTATTTACCTTGTCTGTTTCAATCTCACATACCACTTCATCTTCTGCTACTGTGTCTCCCACAGCTAACAATAAAAAGGATAGTAATTAAATAAGGAGCTGTGCTCTACTGCTTTTCGGGTGACAACAATGCTCTTCAGCAGGTGTTACAGTGGACAAGATGCTAGCTTCAAAATTAAAAGATACCAAACACTACTCTCCATCCAAAGGTGCACTCTTTCAAAGCTGTTCCGTTTCCACAAACAACCTGGAAATGGAGCCCATGCTTATCTCCTGATCAGAAATTCCAAACAAAAGTATAATAATTACGGTTTGAAATTTGGTTGATGAAAACAACTTGCAAAGTTGAGAAACCATGTGTTGGGATAAACAAATAAATCTGACTTCTTCAAGGAACTCTTGTTTTTTTACGGCTCACTGTAATTCTGCTTTGACATTCTGTTCTTTAAATGTATACTTGGAAGATGCCTTCCACAACCACCAAAGTGACTGGATGAATCTGCTTCTATGGGAACTTTATTCCATAAGCTGCTGGCTTTCTAAGTTATAACCTTGGGCTTAACCTTTAGTTACAGAACAAAAGCATCCAGAAGGTATTTACCGAATCAGAACTTTAGCCTGTTTCTATAGCATACCAGGAAAAACACAGAGGAAAACAGAATTCCCTGATGATGGAAAGAAGCACACGCTTACCTTTCTCCCACCTCACATCTCCCTCTGTGACTGACTCTGCAAATGCTGGTGTGTTCACTGTAACAACTTCTTCCCCTACAAAGGAAAGACAAATATCTACATAGTAAAAACATGTCACATCTGTAGTTACAGACTCTGGAACATCAGTGAACAGATGTTATTTCCAGTAAGAGCTATCAAAGAAATAATCACTATACTACTTTAAGACTCCAGACACTGTCCTCGTGGCTCCTAATGACCTGAACATTTCCCTATAATATCCACATAGTGCATCTCTTCTACCCATAGCTTTAATCCCCCTTTCTTGGCTTAATTTTTATCTCCCTTTCCACAAATACTGAAACTCAGTCGATGAAACTGACTGGCAATAGTCGTATGGCAATACGTCTGCAGGAAATGTTAATATCCACATAGTGCATCTCTTCTACCCACAGCTTTAATCCTCCTTTCTTGGCTTAATTTTTATCTCCCTTCCCACAAATACTGAAACTCAGTTGATGAAACTGACTGGCAATAGTCGAAGTATGGCAATACATCTGCAGGGAATGTATAAATTATGAAACTAATTATTCTGGGACATTATCATCCAGTTACTCTCATTTTTCACTCTGTTTACCATAGTTTAGTGCAAGTGTATTATCACAGGCAAAGTGGGCAAGATGCAGCTCTTTACATCTTGCTGGACTGCAATGTTTTTTGGTGACAAGACTTGATGGGTGCTGCAGTTCAGTAGTATTTTGAAGGCCACACTTTCACTTACCCTAAGCTGCATGAACAACCCCTGAAAGTTCCCTGATTTACAAAATATTAATAAAATGTCTCAAATAGAGATGGTTTTTTTATATTCATATACAATAACCCTGCACAGCTAGACGTAACGATAGTCCGCTCACGTATCTGCTGCTGCTGCAGGCTCCGCTGTACTTACCCTAAGCTGCATGAACAACCCCTGGAAGTTCCCTGGTTTACAAAATATTTATAAAATGTCTCAAATAGAGATGAGTTTTTTAATATTCGTAGCTAGATGTAACTATGGGCCGCTCACGTATCCGCTGCTGCAGCAGGCTCCACTGTCCTTCCAATCGCTCTGGAGCTTGCGGTCGGCTATCCACTCATCAGCCTGGCAGGAAGACTCGTCTTTCGTCCTTCTGCCAGGAATGGATAGCCAACTGTGGGATCCTGATTGACTGGAAGGAGATCGGAGCTGTCACCAGCAGTAGATGCGTGAGTGGACAGTCCAGTGCCAGGGGACTGTCTTTCCTCCTTCTGCCAGGAATGGATAGCCAATTGTGGGATCCTGATCGACTGGAAGGAGATCGGAGCTGTCAGCAGCAGCAGATGCATGAGTGGACAGTCCGGCCCCAGGGGACCGGACCCTTGTTACAGCCAGCTGTGCGGGGGTATTTGTATATGAATATCCCCATCTCTACTCTTGAACCTTGAGCTCGTATTTCTCCCTGGGATGGTGGAAGCTTCTGATTAATCCCAGACTGTTAGATCATCTAGACTTGAAAGTGTGGTTAACCTTAAATATGCTCAGTTTAAAATAACCAGATTCAATAATTATGGTTTGAAATTTTCATGACTAATGCTAGACACTGTGAGCGTTAACCTTGTCTGTCCAGATGATACACCATAAATAGAAGAGGGAAATGGTTGTTGTAGTTTTTTCTGGCTGTTTGGCCGTGTTCTGGAGGTTTTTCTTCCTAACGTTTTGCCAGTCTCTGTGGCCAGCATCTTCAGCAGACAGGAGTTAGAACTCTGTCTGTGTTCTGGTATAGTGTGTGGGATAGTTGAGTGGTTGAGAAGAGGAAAATTTCCAAACTTCTTCTCCCAGCTGGATGCGTGAGTGAGTTCAATGCTCATCACAGCTTGCTTCTGCTTATTCACATCACAATGAACTATAGTTTGGCATGACATACAGACACAACTTTTTCTTCAAACACCACAGTTCAAACACAAATCATAAAATCCTCAAGTAAAGGCAGCATCCTCTTGATTTATCTTCTTCTGTATAGCACCTATTTACTCTGGTGATGTTAAATAAATAATAATGCCTGAATAGAGAGAGATGGGAAAACTCTCAAAAAAGGAGTTATGTCAGTGAACAGCTTACGTTATAGCATAACAAACAGGAACATGATAAGTATAACAGATGTTCCCAGCCACTGTCTGTTAGAGGAGGACAAAGTACAGCCTATGAGCTGTATGTGGCCCCAATACAATTTGAGCCCCCCCCCTTCAGTCTCCAGTGGAGGTGTGCTTTGCAGCTGCCCACATTGCTTTTGTTTTGTTCTAATGAAGAAATGGAAGTGTTCTCCTCCTGGAAGCCTTCAAGGAGCCTTAATTTAGTATCGGAGTGTGGAGCGCAGGGCCTACCCAAGCTTACAAGATCCCCAAAAAATAAAACTGGGAACAGACATGCAGTAATTTCCAGTTTTGACTCCACTTCTGCCCATTTTTGGTTCCAGTACAAACCACAGGGAGTGCAGGAGTGAAAATGTTGGTCCAAAATCCTCCCAAGTTGCTAGCCCTGCAGTACACAATAACTTGAACTGAGTGGAGAAGAAGGTTATGTGTTCTTTTGCAAGAAGGGAATCCTCAGGAGGAGTAGATATCCCCTCCATTTGCAGGAATCCCAGTTACTTACTGCACGCTCTGGTGGTTCGGAAATAGCGTACAGCGAAGGTACGGAAGCCATTTGCTCTGGAGAAGAAAGAAAAGGGCAAGATCAACCAATAACCTGTGAAACATTTATCCCTCTTGGTCAGCTGGAATGACAATCAGCAGCCCTGCCCCCATTTCTAACTTGCTCAGTGGTGCACAACAATCCCATGACTGAATACGATGCTGACTAGCGCAGAGGTTCAGTTCTACTGCCCCTGGAAATAAAGTCATTCCCCATCTCCATTTTAGGGATTTATAACCACAAAAAAGTACAGTAACATTTTAAAATCTAACACTTATATAAACAGTGTGCACTCATCTCAAGTGGGGTACGGATCAAGCAAAGGATACAGGAACAGATGATGAACCTGTGAAAACAGCACTAGTAATACACTACAAATAATCTACTTTGAAATACAATACAGCATTTTGAAATATAATGCAACAAATGCAAAAGTCCAAACTATATTTTCCACAGCTGCACAAGAAATCACACTCATAGTTCACATTACAAGTAGAATGGGTTGGCACTAGGAATAGGCTTTTTATATTTCTTGGACTTCAGCTCTCAGAAATCAGCAGGAATTTCCCCCAGCTAAGATTCTGTGGGTTTTAATCAAGAAATCAAGGTCTTGACAGGTGTTTTCAAGTACTCACAGCAGGTTAAATTAAGATTCAAGCAGATATTTTCCTTCTGTGGAGAAGATGGTGAGATGGGCAGGCAAAGTTAAGCTTTGTGTCAACTGCAAGGAATTAGGGGTCCGGCAGTTCCTGCCGATTAGGCTCTGCACAAATACCTCTCAAAAAACCACCAGACCCCTAATTCCTCGTAACTCCCATGAAGCTTAACTCTACCATCCATTTCCCTATCTCCTCCACAGGTGGAAAATGGCTGCCAAAGTCTTAATTGCAAGTACTTGAAAACACCTGTCAGGACTTTGATTTCTTGACTAAAGTTTCAAGAGTTCTACCTGCCGATTAGGCTCTGCACAAATACCTCTCAAAAAACCACCAGACCCCTAATTCCTCGTAACTCCCATGAAGCTTAACTCTACCATCCATTTCCCTATCTCCTCCACAGGTGGAAAATGGCTGCCAAAGTCTTAATTGCAAGTACTTGAAAACACCTGTCAGGACTTTGATTTCTTGATTAAAGTTTCAAGAATTCTAGGGGCTGAAATCCCAAGAAATACAAAAATCCCACAACTAGTTAGCACAACATCATAGAAAATCTTGGTCAATGAGGACAAGTGCACTTCCTTCATGAAATCACAAAGAGAACACAAGATAGTCCAAGCAAAGAACAAACTCTGAATTTACATATTCAGTAATATAGATAATAGGCAGATATTCTCTGTGGGGCTGCAGGTTCCTATAAAAATGTAGCCATATAAACAGCCCTTCTCTGAAACTATAATATAACAGGAATTATTACTGTAGCAGTTAGTCTCCAACCATAATATTTTATGGCAATATTTATTTACTGACTTTGTAAGTTGTATACTTACAAATGCTTCCTGCTGTTGGCATACACAAGCCTCTGACATTGAGAGACACCTGTAAAGCAGAAACCACTTGAATTGAAATCTCATTATTTTAAGTTGCTTTAAAAAGTGGACCAAAAAGAAGAGGCTAAGTGCTAGGAAAGAGAAGAGAACCAGCTTCTAATAATAGTGGTTACAAACAGTATCTGCATCTCTGCTTATTGTTTTCCTAATACTCAATAATATGTGTTTTTGTAAAGGATAATTCTTTTACTACCAGAAAGCCAGGTTTGACCCAAAGAGTAGACAAAGTTTACACTCCCCTTCAAATCACACTATTCATTTACATTTGTGAGAAATATCTAGTTGTTTGTGTATGCTGTGTAATTCTTCCCATTCTGGAGAAACACCAAAGAATTCCCAACACTTAACTTCTAAAAGTGCAAAAGTATTCCAGGAAGAAAATCTCATTCTACCAGTGGACAATATCAGTTAAGATTATTGGGCCACAAACAGAAAGCAAGCATTTCCCAACTGTGGCAGGGGTGTCTCTTACATTACTGATCGTGAAATCAGTAGCATGACAGACATCCCATTAAAGGGGGAAAGCTACTTGCACAATAAACCTTCTATGCCATGCTTTTGTCAGAAGGATTCTAACACGGTAATTATCTACACATTTATTCTGATGCTGAGCCTTATTGAATTCCAGGGTATTCATCCTCAGGTAAGCAGGTACAAGACAGCAACTTAGAATATTAAATTTTCTGGAGATCATAGGGAGGACATAGATTTCAACTGGATGAAGAAAACCTTTATCAAAGGTCAAAACAGAACCCAGAAGCTCACAGTAATTATGTAAAAAATCCTACAAACCACTGATTTCTAGCAATCCCCCACTCAGTTACCAGTGACCCTGTTAATAATACAAAGAACAGTTCAATGAGTATGGCTTATTTTCAAGATGATCCATAGAACAAAACTCCAGTTATCTGTTATATCTGTCTTGAGTAACTGTTCAAGGAAAGTAACATAGGCTTAACCTATCTTATACAATTTTAATATAAGTTTTCAGTGCTTATTCAGTCTTTGGATCAATCTGAAAAATAACTGTTTAAGTAAAATCATTTGACTGAAAAATTGTTACACACACTAACCAAATCAGATTACTGCAATATTCTGTATGCGGTTCAGAAAGTGTAACCAATGTAGTGAAGAGATAAATGATACTCTGTTTCCCCAAAAATAAGACCTAACCAGAAAATAAGCCTTAGTATGATTTTTCAGGATGCTCGTAATATAAGCCCTACCCCAAAAATAAGCCCCAGTTAAGTGAAACCCCGCCCTCCACCACTGCACAGTCCCCAAAAGATGACATGACTGTAGAGTATTTGAATAAATGTAGATTGTTGTACAGAGGTGCCTCGCATGATGACGATAATCTGTTCCAGGAAAATCGCTGTACAGAGAAATCATCGTCATGCGAAAAACTATTCCCCATTGGAATGCACTGAGACCCATTTAATGCGTTCCAATGGGGAAATTACCTCGCTGTCCAGCGAAGATCACCCATAGGGGAAGCCATTTTCCGAGTGCCCATCAGCTGTTAAAATGTCTGCCCTGCAAAGCATGGGTCCGGAAAACAAAGGGCAGCCATTTTGTGGAGCCGGAAAAATTGACGTTTTGTGAACAAATGGTTCGCTAAGTAAGGACCTAATCAACGTCCAGCGAAAAAACTCCATAGGAAACAACGTTTTGTGATCGCTATAGCTATAGCGATCACAAAAGTCATCATCATGCGATTTCATCATTCAGCAGGATGATCGTCATGCGGGGCACCACTGTACATGAAAAAATAAAACATGCCCTGAAAATAAGCCCTAATGCCTTTTTTTGGAGCAAAAATTAATATAAGACCCTGTCTTATTTTCGGGGAAACAAGTTAGAGACCATACAGGTTGATCAGGTAATGGCCATCCTGAACAATATAGAAATCAATTCAAAATGCTGATTTTAACATATGAAACCTGTTATGACTCAGGCCTCCAATACTTGATGATCAACATTTACCCCATCAAGGAACTCTTACTAAATCTGATTACAAACACTGTGCTGACCTATCAATCCATCCTCAATATGTGGGGGGAAAAACAGAAATCACTTCATTATTTTTTCACACAGAAGTAATCAGAAAGGGCATCAAACTGTTACCTCTGCCTAATGATCACTTTGAACTATTCTAGCTTGGAAATATCAAATGGTTGAGCCAGAAATGTGACATTTGCTGCACAATTTGATTTTTAGTCTATTTGAATTTGACTTAAAGTTGACCTTTTAAAAATGTATTTTATTCTTTATGGCAGTCTCTCAACAGTTTTTATTCTTGTTATAATGACTGAGATATTATTATCCTCAATAGAAGACTCACCAGAAAATGCATGTTTCCCTTGTGAACAGTCCCCCTGTCAAAGAGAAAGATAAAATCACCAAAGCAAGCACTTAAAAGTAACTCAAAGCAGATGTATCTCTTCACAGTAGAGTATTTCCAAACTGGATGATTCAATAGGTCACAGTAGCTTCTCTTTAATAGTAGTATGTGACAACACTTGTCTGCAGACAAGTAACCCTGACTTAACATCTCTGTCTTTCACATAATCAGTTCTTTGACTATTTGTTGCCCTTCTTTATGTTTACAAAAAGTAAGTTCGGTGGGACTTACTTCCATGTAGTCCTAGAACGAGCTAGCATTTTTAGCATGTATACATTACTGAAACAGTGGTGTCTACATTGGCTTGGGCATGTCATGAGAATGGCTGACGGTTGGATTCCGAAAGATCTCCTGTATGGAGAATTAGTGCAGGGAAATTGCCCCAGAGGGAGACTACAGCTGCAATACAGTACAAGGATATCTGTAAGCAGGATCTGAAGGCCTTAGGAATGGACCTCAACAGATGGGAAACGTTGACATCAGAGCATTCAGCCTGGAGGCAGGCAGTGCATCACGGCCTCTCCCAGTTTGAAGAGACACTTGTTCAGCAATCGACACAAAGAGGCAGTCCCGAAACCAGCAAAAGTGGGGAGCTGGACACGGGATAGATTGTATTTGCCTTCAGTGTGGGATTTCACTCAAGAATTGACATTCTCAGTCACACTAGATGCTGTTCCAAGACCTCTATTCAGAGTACATTACCATAGTCTCTCGAGACTGATGGATGCCGACATTCTCATGTAGGTATGTATACAATTGATATTAATGAGGAAGAATGGGTTTTCAAACTTTTTCTGTATTTTCTCTCAAAAATAGTTTGTTTAATTTTATATTTTATACAGTATGGTTCCTAAGAATTCATGCACGACAATCATATATTTCATGTGGGTCTTCAATAATACATTCATTCACAGTTTAATGATATTTCAATCTTGCACGTTAGGAACCAAAGTGTTCCTTTGCAGGTTATCACAAAGCTTAGGAACTCCACTATGCAACCGTAAAGTTTTCCAACCACTATCTTGCCAAGACAAGTATTACATTTGGCAATTTGGATCTAATCAAAGAATCACTATTTATCATTATTTCTAGAAAGAGAAATAAGAGTTGTGCAGTAGAAAGGGAAAGTTCAAATCTACATTCATTCATAAATACTGAAAGCTGCATTGAATGAAATCTAAAAATTAAGCATCAGATCTCTATGTATAGAGTATTAACATAGTTTACTGCAACAGACTGTTAAAAGAACAAACAGCATATTATAAAGCTCTTTGATCATTATATGACATTTATAATGTGGCAGTAATTTCTATTGTGATCAACTATACACGTTAGAAGACAAACTTGTTTTCAACTAATGGTTCTGTTGTATGAAGATAACACTGCACTCTGTGGAAACAATAACCTTAGAAATGGCCCGCTTTTACAAATAGATTACCAGGGATCACACTGCCAAAAAAGGGGTGTTCTCACTGATCCTGTGTTCAAAGAATAACAGGCTCAATTCCTGAGGAAAAAACCCTAGTGAAACCCATGTAGTAGATGGGTATAGGGAACCCTGGTGAGGCTGCAAAATAAATACTTGCCCCCAACATCCATGAGGGCTGGGCTAGGTCTGGAAACGGCCATTAAGGGAGGAGTATATGACATAAAATGATCATACATGCACACGCACATGCACACACACGGTTATAACTTTTTTATTTGGAGTTATGGTTTCACAGTCTGTGGCCCCCTCATGAAAAATATTCTATTTCTGGGTGCCTCTGGGAGGAGCAAAACCCATTTTTTGTTCCTCTGACCGAATCAAATCTTTTGTTTTGTTTTGTTTTTTGGCCTGTGTGTATCGTGAACGGATCTCGAAAATAGCTTCAGGCTCACAACTGGCTAACACACCACACACTGACTACCCTTACTTACTGTAGATATATTGCTCTGTGTGATAGCTAGGCCCTTGAGCAGCCTCAGAAATATACATCACACATGAGAACCAAGTGGTTCTTGTACCTGTTGATATGTGCCATCAAGTTACTTCAGACATATGGCAATATGATGAGAACCAAGTGGTTCTTGTACCTGTTGGTATGTACCATCAAGTTACTTCAGACATATGGCAATTCTAATAGGATTTTCAAGGTACAGTACACACGTAGTTCCACCTGTGGCTTGCCATTGAACCCAGTCTCCTGATTCCTAGTCCAACACTACATGCTATACTGCTATATCTACAGAGAGCTTAATGTTTCACCTGTTCCTCTCCTAAAAATTCCAATAATTATACGTTCATGACTTTAGTCTCAATTTACACCATTCTTTCCTCAAGTATCTGATTCATCACTATTGATCCCTCTCCACTCTTCTACTACTTTAACTGTTAATGAAACCAAAACTCCTTGTTTCCCCAAATTATTTTGCCTTGCATTACTTTGCACAAAATGTGAAATGCCTCCGTTTTAAACAGACCAGCGACCAATAAAAGAACTACTACCAAACAAATAAAAGTTACAATTCACGAGAATACTCCTCATGGACACTATTTGCTGAACTAAAAACGAATTTTAATGAGCCACTGAAAATGTATCCTGAAATCTTCCTTCTGCAACATCGTTTGCAACAATGGTGATGGTCATTAAAGAGAACTTCGTTATGCATAAATGAACCTAAGTATATACGAGATGGTCCGAGAACAGAGATAATGTTTTGCTTCAAGTGTCAACATAAGTGGCTCTTGCTTTGCATTTAGGAAAAAGAAGGGCGTCGTTTGCAGACACCCAGGGCACAAGGGCAGCCAGGGTCACAGGGAGGCAAAGAAGTTTTACTAGAACGGCGTGCTCCTCAGCGCACAGACACGCGCGCGCGCATTTCCACACGAGCACGAGAGGGCGAGAATGTCACCGAGGTCCAACCTTCAGAACTACCTTCACGTCAGGCCGCGTCCAGGATCCCATCCAGTCTTGCACCCTCCCACCACCTCTATAAGCCCCCAGTTAACCCTGCCAACAGAGACTTCGTCCTTTGACCTTTTCAAATAT